TCATTAAAGGTGGGGTAAGCGTTTTTTCAAAAACGCTTTAGAAAACTGATTCGGGCCGACTAGCAAAACAAACTTACAGCCAATCAGCAGTAAGGGGCGTGTCTACTCATGATGTGGAGGAGAGAACATTCTGTGCATGGGACGGACATTAGCGGAGCCGAGCGACAGAAAGATAGAGATGGCGGATAAAAAAAAAGAGGAAAACGTCTGCGGAACGATAAGGCAAGAAGTAGGACCCGGGTAAATATAGGATCAGCTTTCCAGAACCTGCCACAGCACAAACCACGAGCAGTGTTGGGGAAACTTACTTTTAAAAGTAATGCATTACAATATTGCGTTACTCCATAAAAAAGTAACTAAATTACGTTACTTAGTTACTTTTTATGGAAAGTAATGCGTTACGTTACTTTTGCGTTACTTTTTAAATCTGGACAGGGCTTGCTTGTTTGTTTTTACAATAAAAAAGTTATATTTTTGGCAAATATAAAAGCCTTTTCACACCAAAAGTGAAATGAATAAGCCTCAGGCTGAAGGGAAAGTAAATTTACGTCCGTACAGTAGAATGCAGAAGAAGACATTCAACACACTTCAGCAATAAAAAAAGACACACATGTTTGTCTAGAGTAATTTGTGCTTATTAGTACGGTTGAACTGGATCATCGAAGGTCAGAAGCAAAGACATTGGTTAATAGAATGGGATTAAATACATAAAGCATATTTGTGTTGTTTAACATTTAATTATTGCAGGTTTGCGTCATATTCTGAGTTGCATTATTTTTATTCATTTTGAGGAATACTGAATCTGTTTTTTTTGTGTGTGAGTGAGATGAATTAATGCATATTCATATTTATTTTAGAACTACAGTAACATCTGATTTCTCTCAACATGGGGACAGGAGAGCTGTCAGTCAATAAAAAGTAACTTGCGTTACTTATTTGAAAAATATTCTCTTGTAAATTAAAAAGTAAGGCGTTACTTTACTAGTTACTTGAAAAAAGTAATCTGATTACGTAACACGCGTTACCCCCAACACTGACCACGAGTAACAGGCAGAAATGGGGAAGGTTTTGAAAGCATAATTAAGACATTAAAGGTGTTCTTACTTATCCCAGGCATCCAGCGGGTCTTCTCCAGCATAGCTGCGCACGCTCAGCTCAAAGGCCCTGCAGTGGTGATCAGTGAAAGCAGATGATGAACGGTGTGCTACCTCCCATTAAAACAGGTGGTAGCATAATTTGATAGCAAAAAGTGCTACCTATCAGATTTAGCTTCCAGAATGATATTAATAAGGTGCGAGGCTTTATTAACATGTACACCTACCCTTACAGTAGGATAAATACAGTGTTGGTAGCATAATCTGATAGGTAGCATTATTTGTCAGAACAACGGCAATGACACAAGACGACGCAGTTTCCTGACATTTCCAATGGCCAGACCTGGTTTACTGTATTTCTCCAGTGTAAATATCATGTAATAAATCCTTACATAGCATACATTATACATTTGAACACTATGCGAAGCAGCAGCAGCAGCAGGCGATGACAGAAATTTGCTCTCATACTGTACAAGTGAGTTAGAAAAACGCTCTACCAGCGTAGAGACGGAAAACAAACAGTTCTGTTACAGAGAATAAAAACATCACGGAAATCATGTGAGAAAAACAATAAACGAAGTGATGGGGACCTGAATCATAAATATTATCTGGACGAATGCGCTCCCTGATGCATGCTAACATGCTACTCACTGAAAATAATAGTTAATGTCCATCGTTTCTTCTTGTTGAACGCAAAAAGTCCGAGGGTAAATGTTTACGGTTAAACTAGACTCATTTAAACCTCTTTGATACAACTATTAAGCCCTTAAAAAGCTGGAGATATATTGACTGTTTTGACCGCTGACTAGCCCCGCTGTGGTAACTGCGTATTTGCAACGACAAACTGTTTTCAAATTTACCGCTTAGCCAATCATTACCATTCATGAGGCTCAAAGGCCAATCAGAGTCCGACGCAACTCCGCGTCACGTTTACCGCCCTTCGCGCCCCGCCCCCGTGCACGGGTTGGCTAAGAGCTCGCGTAAACGGCCTGCGATTGGACAGATAAGACGTCGATCATAAAGTGCAAACAACACATCGTGAAACTGTAGTAAACAGAAGGAGGAACAGCAGCAGCACAGCCGCGTTCATATCGCAGAACAAGCAGGTAGGCGTACTTTTTATTTTCGAACAGTAAACTTGTTTTTTCCGATTTCTTTAAAGACACGAAACATTATTTAAATACACTTTATCACTTTCTGTAAAAACGCTCTGAATACATAATCCCTTCACTTGACAATTGCTGTTTGTACTAAGCTGATGGATTAATAAACAGGGGAAGCCGACAGGCTAAGTTAGATCTAAACTAAATCGCTCCCAGTTTTAAATCATCAAGTGTTTACTCTCACGCATTCAGTTGGTTTTAGATCACAGTTAACGTTAAGTCATTTCCGGTCAACTGTCAAAATCAGCTGCAGAGCGCCCTTGGCTCGGTTTCTCTGCATAATCCAGTCACAGTTAGAAGAAAAGTTTTGTTTGTCTAAGCGGACCAAATATCCACGTATACTGTTTCAGGAATGACAAACGCGAGTGTAAAAGTACTAAAAGTTGTTATAATTTTATAATAAATCCAAAATGGCCTAGATATTATATTGACCATGATATACCAATATAAAGTATATGCATTATTTATTTCTAAACTTCTGAATAAATTTAATTTCATGTGGACCCTGCTAATTATGGAAGGTATCAGTATATTTATTATTCAAGAAACATGCATGAATGAAAAAAATCAAAAGAGAGACATGCTTGATGCTAAAAAGAGTTATTAATAAGCAATAAGCATGAAAAAACTCGCACTTGAAGCCGCCTGTCATGTCAGGGTGCTGAACTGAGTTCTCTTTTCCAAGCTTATTTCACTACAATGGTCAAATACACACAAAATTATGTCAAACATAATGAATGAAAACAGTTGGGAGCAAATCAGATGTGTATAAATACATTGGTCTTGACAGCAGCCTAATAAACCTGCTGCTGTCGGTGTCCTTAATGTTAATCAAACGACCAAAGAAAAACAGCAAATCACTCTCTGCTTTTGACTGAATAACTTCAGTAGCTTTAATAAAAATGATGCAGTTGCTGAATAATCAGATGTAAAAATAAAATGGTGCATAGTCTTGATTGTATGAATTAAATAGGCTACACAGTCATTTTTTTTTTAAAGCTACTGAAGTTATTCAGTCAAAATCAGAGAGTGGCAGCAGCAGGTTTAAAGGGCTGCAGTCCGTTTACAGGGGACCTATTATGCAAATTTCACTTTTATATTGTTTTTAACATAATTATGTGTCCGCGGTGTGTACACAACCACCCTATTATGGTAAAAATTGTTATTTTCTCCATAAATCAAGAGTTGCTGCATCCCAATTCACATACTATCCATCCTATATTTGCAATTAGTAGTGTGTCCCAGATCGTAGTAAGTTGAAATGAGTATCCAAAAGGTTCCCAGATGGTTTACTAATTCCAGTGTAAATGTGAAGTGCAGATCTGTGCACACGCTAACAGCTAACATTGCCCACAACTAACTGATTCAGTCAGAACTACAAACACCAGTAAAACGTGTTAAAGAACTACAAACATGGCAGATATGCAAGACTGACGGTTAAGTAGCCTAGAGATTTTAAATAAAGGGATTTGAGTGATTAACAATCAATATCTATCTTACCTGATGAAAAGAAACATTTATTTAATGTTATCTGCATTGGTCTTTGGTTATAAAAGCTGAAGCTTGGACAGTAAACTCTGGAGAAGTTTCTGGACAGTGCTCCTCACTCTTCTCACAGCTGTGTGAAGGGACTGAGAAGTGTCTGAGAAATAATCTAACAGCTGCTAAAGTGATTCAGGCGAGAGCAGTGAGTGATTTTCTCTTTGTCTTCTGTTGTTTGACTCACATTTACAGCACAGACAGCAGCAGCAGCAGCACATACTGCACAGCACTTTAATTCACAGATACACTTGCGATTTCTTTCCCAGCTGTTTACATTCACATA